TAGCTACTCGGGAGGCTGAGGCAGGAGAATGGCGTGAACCCAGGAGGTGGAGCTTGCAGTGAGCCGAGATAGCGTCTCCAGCCTGGGCAACACAGGAAGACTCCATCTCAAAAAAAAAAAAAAAAAATCAACTTCTGACCTGGTGGGGAAAAGAAAAGAAAAAAGTTCAAAAATGCCAGGGGGCTGGATCACTACTGTAATCCCAGCACTTTGGGAGGCCCAGAAGGGTGGATCACCTGAGTTCAGGAGTTAGAGACCAGCCTGGCCAACATGGTGAAACCCCATCTCTACTAAAAATACAAAAATTAGCAAGGCATGGTGGTCCACACCTGTTATCCCAGCTACTTGGGAGGAGGCTGAGACAGGAGGTTCCTTCGAACCTGGGAGACGGAGGTTGCAGTGAGCAGAAGTGGAGCCACTGCACTCCAGCCTGGGTGACAGAGAACCGCCCTTCGCTCATCTGTCCAGAAGGAAGGAAAACACCGTGGAGACCAAGGCCAACCTTCCCGACCCCCGGGAACAACGGGGGTGGGATCACAGTTTCCCATATCCTCCCCCTCAGAAGCCCGAAGATAAATAGGCTTAGAAAGAGAGGAAAAAGGCCGGGCGTGGTGGCTCACACCTGTAATCCCAGCACTTTGGGAGGCTGAGGCAGGTGGATCATGAGGTCAGGAGATAGAGACCATCCTGGCTAACACAGTAAAAACCCTGTCTCTACTAAAACTGCAAAAAAATTAGCCGGGCGTTGCCGCGGGTATCTGTAGTCCCAGCTACTCAGGAGGCTGAGGCAGGAGAATGGCGTGAACCTGGAAGGTGGAGCTTGCAGTGAGCCGAGATCGCGCTACTGTACTCCAGCTTGGGCGAAAGAGTCAGACTCCATCTCAAAAAAAAAAAAATAAAATAAAAAGAGAGAGGAAAGAAATTTCTTGGTTTGCATCTCACTCACCCTTTCTCAAGGCCCATGTTGCACGCCAAACTGTTGTAGGACTTTCTCCTTAGTTCAGCTAAAAGCCAGGTTCTTGTCCCGCAGCCATCAGAGATTAATCTCGCAGACGCTTTGAAGGGTGAGAAAAATGTAATTTATTGGGCAAGAGGGGAAAAAAGGGGAAACAGGGACTCTGAGAGAGTGCCGCTAGCTGGTCTCTCGCCTCACAGACAGAATCCCAGATTCCACCCAGAACAGAAGAGGCCAAGCTCCTCCCCAGCAGAGTGGGAGCTTCTGTGGCTCCACCCAGTTCTTTCAGTGCTTCAGCAGGTGGGAGTTTCTCTGGGACCCCTTCATACTTGGCTGTCTCACTTGGATTACAGGTGTAGGCCACAGTGCCCAGCTGACTCACTTTTTTTTTTTCCCCTTAAAAAAATTGTTGGCCTGGCCAAGTGCAGTGGCTCACGCTTGTAATCCCAGCACTTTGGGACGCCGAGGCGGGGCGATCACGAGGTCAGGAGATAGAGACCACGGTGAAACCCCCTCTCTACTAAAAATATAAAAAATTAGCCGGGCATGGTGGCGGGGCCTGTAGTCACAACTACTCAGGAGGCTGAGGCAGGAGAATGGCGTGAACCCGGGAGGCGGAGCTTGCAGGAGGCGAGATAGCGCCACTGGGCTCCAGCCTGGGTGACAGAGCGAGACTCCATCTCAAAAAAAAATAATAATAATAATTGTTGGCCCTCAGACACATGAAAAAATGTTCATCATCACTGGCCATCAGAGAAATGCAAATCAAAACTACAATGAGATACCATCTCACACCAGTTCGAATGGCTATCATTAAAAAGTCAGGAAACAACAGGTGCTGGAGAGGATAAGGAGAAATAGGAACACTTTTACACTGTCGGTGGGACTGTAAACTAGTTCAACCATTGTGGAAGACGGTGTGGTGATTCCTCAATGATCTAGAACTAGAAATACCATTTGACCCAGCCATCCCATTACTGGGTATATACCCAAGGGATTATAAATAATGCAGGTATAAAGACACATGCCCACATATGTTTATTGCGGCACTATTCACAATAGCAAAGACTTGGAACCAACCCAGATGTCCATCAGTGACAGACTGGATTAAGAAAATGTGGCACATATACACCATGGAATCCTATGCAGCCATAAAAAAGGATGAGTTCGTGTCCTTTGTAGGGACATAGATGAAGCTGGAAAATGTCATTCTGAGCAAACTATCATAAGGACAGAAAACCAAACACCGCATGTTCTCACTCTTAGGTGGGAGTTGAACAATGAGAACACTTGGACACAGGAAGGGGAACATCACACACCAGGGCCTGTCGTGGGGTGGGGGGAGGGGGGAGGGATAGCATTAGGAGATACACCTAATGTAAATGATGAGTTAATGGGTACAGCACACCAACATGGCACATGTATACATACATAACAAACCTGCATGTTGTGCACATGTACCCTAGAACTTAAAGTATAATAAAAAATAAAAATAAATTAAAATTAAAATAAAAAAAAAATTGTTGGCCCGGCACGCTCACGCCTGTAATCCCAGCACTCTGGGAGGCCGAGGCAGGCGGATCACCTGAGGTCAGGAGTTGGAGACCAACCTGGCCAACATGGTGAAACCCCATCTCTACTAAAAATACAAAAATTAGGTTGGGCGCCCCTGGTGGCTCACACCTGTAATCCCAGCACTTTGGGAGGCTGAGGCAGGCGGATCACCTGAGGTCAGGAGTTCGAGACCAGTCTGACCAACATGGTGAAAGCCTGTCTCTGCTAAAAATACAAAAATTAGCTGGGCATGGTGGCATATGCCTGTAATCCCAGCTACTCAGGCAGGTGAGGCAGGAGAATCGCTTGAACTCAGGAGGCGGAGGTTGCAGTGAGCCAAGATTGCCTGACTGCACTCCAGCCTGGGCCACGGAGCAAGATTCCGTTTCAAAAAAAAAAAAAAAAAGGCCAGGCACGGTGGCTCATGCCTGTAATCCCAGTACTTTGGGAGGCCAATGTGGGTGGATCACGAGGTCAAGAGTTTGAGACCAGACTGACCAACATGGTGAAACCCCACCTCTACTAAAACTACAAAAAAATTAGCTGGGTGTGGTGGGGCGCGTCTGTAATCCCAGCTACTTAGGAGGATGAGGCAGGAGAATTCCTTGAACCTGGGAGGCAGAAGTTGCAGTGAGTCGAGATTATGCCACTGCACTCCAGCCTGGGCAACAGAGCGAGACTCCATCTTTAAAAACAAAACAAAAAAGGCCGGGCGTGGTGGCTCACACCTGTAATCCCACCACTTTGGGAGGCTGAAGCAGGTGGATCACGAGGTCAGGAGATCGAGACCATCCTGGCTAACATGGTGAAACCCCGTCTCTACTAAAAAATACAAAACATTAGCCGGGTGTGGTGCCATTGGCCTGTAGTCCCAGCTACTCGGGAGCCTGAGGCAGGAGAATGGCATGAACCCGGGAGGTGGAGCTTGCAGTCAGTCTAGATCAGGCCACTGCACTCCAGCCTGGGCGACAAGGCAAGACTCTGTCTCAAAAATAAATAAATATTTTAAAAATTACCAAAAAAAATCCAAAAACAATTGTTTAAAAAATTTTAATTTTATAGAGATGAGGTGTCACTATGTTGCCCAGGTTGGTCTCGAACTGGTGAGCTCAAATGATCCTCCCGCCTTAGCTTCTCAAAGTGCTGGGATTACAGGCATGAGCCACCACACCGGGCCTGGGTGACTAAGTTTTAACGTTAAGTAACTCATTAACAATTTCTAAGGCCCTTTATGCCACAGCCTAAGTGAAAAGCCATTATCCTTTGCCACACATAGAAGACACCTGTGAAAACACGAGTTTCCTCTAGAAGGCGCCTACAAGTCCCAGTCTCTAGTTCGGAATGTTCCAGGAGCACTGAATGGGGAGCCCTGTCCTTTAACACTGGGCCTCAGGATCCAGCCCACCTCGGCCTCTCGCTCGGCCACCCACTTCTTGGCATCAATCTCTCTGTGGGAGAATTGTCCAGACCCGTAGAAGCTCCCGATTCCACCCAGCCCCAGGTGTGGGCCGGGGCTGGACTAGGAAGACAAAGCTGCATTCACTCCCAGTCTGAGTCCAGCCCCTCAGGCCTCCCCCGAGCGGGCGGGGCAGAGGTCCCTGCAGCCTCCACCCGGAACCGGGCCCCTAGGACTGGGAGGTCCAAGCTGGGAGCGGGCCAGGCGCTGCCCAAAGTCTTAAAAAAAAAAAAAAAAAAAAGAAAGAAAAAAATTAGCCGGGCGCCTGTAATCCCGGCTACTCCGGAGGCTGAGATCGCAGTGAGCCGAGATCGCGCCATTGCACTCCAGCCTGGGCGACAGAGCGAGACTCTGTCTCAAAAAAAAAAAACCCACAAAAATCCGAAGGCGTGGGCCCCTATCAAGAGCCGGCTGGGCTGCGCGGGGCGAGGTGGCCGCTGCACCACCGGGAGCAGGGCCCGTTGCTCCCGTAAGCGGCGCGCTTGGGCCGCCACTGCCCCGGGAAGCCGGTCCGGTTCTGGGCTGGTCATTCCTCTGCACCCACGAGCACTGGCCCTGATTCTCCCTAGAACGGCCCATTGTTCCCGCCTCCCGGGCCCCTGCGCGTCTCAGTCCCGCGCCCCAGAGGAAGCTCCTGAGCGGGAAAGCGCCTTGGGCGGCGCCGAAGGCAACGGTGGCCCCCGGCTCCAAGCGCCCAGTCCCCTCCAAGCGCCCAGTCCCCCGCGCCACCCAGAGCCCCTCACGCTCGGGAAACAGCCCAGAGAACGTGCGAGTGGGGTCGGGGTCCGCGCGCGGAGGAGATGTTGCCGAGAAGAGTACCTGGGCCCGAGAGCGCCGCCCCCGCCGCCCGCGCCGGCTGCGGTCGACCCGCACTCCCACTCCGGCCTTACCTGAGGCCGACTCGCACGAGCCCAAGCGGGGCTGCGGGAGCCGGTCGGGATCGCGGGCGCCGGCCCCCACCCCGCCCCTCGCGGCGCTGGCGGCGGCGGTGCTGCGGCCCCTTTAAATCCGGGCCGCCCCGCCCTGCGCCGTCGACTCCGCGGCGGCCCCAGATCCAGGCCCCAGATCCAGGCCGGGCCGCGGCTCTCGCCGCCCAGCCCAGCCCAGCCCGGCCTGGCCCGGCCCTGCCGCGGAGGCGAGGCCGCCAGTGTCCCGCGCCCCTGATACCTGCAGTGAGCCTGATATCTGCCTCTGCTCCTCTGAGCCTGTTCCTTTTCCCTGAGTACAGGGCACAAAGCTTGCGCCCTGAGAAGCGGCAGGCGCGCTCCCCGGCCCGGTCCCTGCCCGGCCCCGGCCCCCCCGCCCCTCCCCGCCCCGGGGCCGGGGCCCCTGCAGCCGCCGCCTTCCGACCCCTGCGCCCCGGCCCCGGTTCCCCGGGCCATGCAGCCTCGGCCCCGCGGGCGCCCGCCGCGCATCGGAGGAGATGAGGCTCCGCAATGGCACCTTCCTGACGCTGCTGCTCTTCTGCCTGTGCGCCTTCCTCTCGCTGTCCTGGTACGCGGCACTCAGCGGCCAGAAAGGTAAGCGCGACCCCCGCCCGGCCGGCCCGGCCCGCACCTGGCGCACCTGGGCGTCGGCGGCGGGAGCGGGCCCGGCGGTGGCCGCGGGAGGCGGCCGGAAGCCGACGCAGGCGCCCCTTCCCCGCCCGGGCGGCGCGGAGGACGCCCCTCCCACCCTCCCCCACTTGTTTGCTGCTGGAGCCGCGGCGTCCTCCTCGGGCCCGGGCTGCGCCTGCCCGCCCAGCGCTGGCCGCGCCCGTGGGTGCCCCGGACCGGACTCCGCGGGCGCAGCTGAGCTGGGGACCCGTGGGGGTCTCGGCACAGACCCAAGGTCACAGAGGTCCCGGAACGCCAGCCACAGCCACTTGGGCAGGACCTGGGCCGGCGTGAGGGACACAGGCGCGAGGGCACCGCTAGGCGGTCAGGCATCCCCCCACCCGCCCTCCCCCGACCCTGCCTCCCGCAGCCCCGCGCCGGCCTGGGCGACCCCGGCGTGACACCCGGTCCTGGGTCTCCCTCGCCGACCCCCGGGCGCCCGGAACGCCTCGGCAGCATCCGGCCTATGGGAGCGGGGGAGGGAGGGAGAGGCGTCCTGAGCCAGCCCGGCCACTGCTGCCCTGCGCTCCTGTGCGGCCCCAGCCCCTCCCCCGCACCCCGAGCTTCCCGGGCTGGCCCCCGCCCTCCGCGTCCGCCCAGCGCTCTTGCAGGCGGAGGGTGCAGACCGACCCCCCGCCCCCCGCCTCCCTGACCGGTCTTGGCGATGGTGGGGCCGAGTAGGGCCTGAGCCCTCCGAGGCGCTCTTCCCCTAGCCTGGAGGTTCCGGGAGAGTGGCCTTCTGCCTGCCTGCCTGCTGGAGGCCTAAGCGGGCTGAGGCCACCTGCCCCCTTGGCCTCCCTGCCACCTGCTTCCCTGTTTCCCTGTCCCGGAGCGCCACCCCAGAGAGGCTGAGGAGGCTGGGAGGACCTGGACCCTTCCGGACCCTCCGAGCCTCAGCTACCCTCACCGAGCTCTGCCAGCGCGCCCGCCTGCCGCACTTGTTCTGTCAGAGCAGAGGCCTGGGCTGGCCTTGGGGCTCCAGGGCCAGAGCCCCATCACCCAGGGACTCTGCGGGGAGACTGCAGGACAGGGGAGGGAGGGCTGGGGCAGAGGCCCCGGTGGTGGCGTATATTATCAAGGGCAGGCATGACTGGGGCAGAATTATCTGTAGGTAGGGTGTGTCACCTGGGGAAGGACATTCTGGGTCCTTGGCAGGGTGACTAGCAGACTGGCATGAAGGCCTAGGTGGGGCCTTATCTGAAGGGCTGGGGCACACTCTTCCAGTCGTGGGTAAAGCCATGAGCCCTTGCCCTTTGTCCTCAGCCAGTGTGTGTCTCCCACAGCAGCCACATGCCGCCAGATTGATGTCAGGAGCCACCTCTGCAAGCCTGGCTTACCACAGGGAGCCAGACTCCGGGACAGCAGAGTGAGGGAGAGGCGCTGGCTCCGTGGGACCCGCTGTGCCTGGGGGCATCTTGGAGGCTGGCTCTTTGAGGGCCTGGGGAACAGGAGAGCTAAGAAGGGGAGCGCTTAGATCCAAGGACCCAGCCCCTAGGGGAGGGAAGCCTAAGGATCCTGTGAGGCATGAGTAGGGGGTGACCTAGGCCTGCCTTGTTGAGGGGCTGTCACTGTTTCTGTGGTGACTCAGTGAAGCTAGGAATCCAGGCTATTATGTGAACCCATCTCATTGTTACATGTAGAAAGTCTGTCTTAAGCCCCTGGTGAAACCAGGCTTAGCCAGTCTGAGGCCAAATTGGAACCTGGCCTCCACTTTGCAGCCAGCGGGGGTCCAGGAACTTGAGGGAAGAACCCAGGAAGTGGAATCTGCAGAGAAGGAAGGAGGTGGGCAGGGAACCAGAGAGGAAGGACAGCAGGTGCGGGCGTCATCCTGGAAGCCCAAGGTCAAGCCCAGGACGGCCTCTTTAGACTAATGCAAAATGGACCCTGGAGAAGGGTTTGGGGCCCAGTTTCATATCTGGCCTGTGGAGCAGCTCTGCCAGCACTCAAACTGTGGCCTTCAGCCAAGCACCTGCTGAGGATCTGCCCAGGGAGGCAGACCCTTGCGGGCGGCCCAGGGTCTCAGCCACACAGCTCTCCCAGCCTCCAGGCTGTCCCCCTCCCCAGGCCTGGACCTCAGCAATGATGGACACCCTCCTTGACTCCTAGGAGGGTGCAGGGTCTGGAGAGGAGACAGACATCTGCCGCACACATGCATGGTGACAGCAGACTGTTAACGGGCCTGATACCTGCCCATGCCCCTCTGATCCTGTTCCTTTTCCCTGAATACAGGGCACAAAGGTTGTGCCCCAGCTTGGCTCTTTAATCTTTTCCCAACCAAGAGGGAAGCAGGGGGAACTGTGGTTTGCGGGCCTCAGGGTGTCCTAATGACTCGCCTCCAGGGAGGGTTACACAGCCTCCAGGCCTCATTGCTGCTGTTCTTAACAATGTGGCCCTGAGGCAGGAAGGTATGGCAGGGGCTCCCAGGCTGGCCCCTCTCCTCACCTGAGCTGCCTCCCCAGCTCCTGAAGGTTAGAGGGTGTCAGCATGGCTTGGCAGAGCCCTGGCATGGGGCCTGGCCCATGGGGAGGCAGTCACAGAGTTCGACCTACAGTTGAGGGCAAGGCGGGTGGGGGAGCTGGCAGGCGGGGGAGGCTGCCCAGGGCCAGGGCCTGCAGTGTGAAGGGAAATGACAGAAGGGTTGGTGTAGGTGGGAGCCCGTGGGTCCCTTTACCTCCTGGTAAACAGGACCTGGGGGAGAGGGGAGGCCCCTAGGAAGGAAGCCAGGGTAAGGAGCAGGCTGTTTCCAGGGTGATTCAGGCAGCGTCACCCACCACTGCCCACCCAGCCTGTCCATCTGAGGCAGTCATGTGGGACAGAGAAAGCCAGGGTGGGGCTCGGGGATGGGCAGTGGCTGTAAGTAGGCAAGCGGGGACTGGCATCTAGGCAGGAGGGAGGCACACCTGCAGGTGCAGGTGGCTCTGAACCCACTCCTGATGGCTCTGTAGGCCTCTGTACCTCCAGTCCCATCCCTGTGGGCAACCGCTGCCTACACCTCGGTGTCGCCCAGCAATGGGTGAGTGTTGGGGGTAGCCAGCTCTGCATTCAAAGGGTCAGGTTTCCAGGGTAACCTAGCCCCTGAGCCCAGCGTGGAGCCTGGCAGATCCGGTAATCTGACTCCCCCTTCCCTCCCGCCAGGGCCTGTCCAGAGGCTCCACTTGGCCTCAGCCTTAGCCCCAGAGAGGCAGGGTGTGGGAGGGCGGGGGCTAGCTTCTTGGGTAAGAGATGCCTCAGGGAAGATCCACTTGGCTCCCTGCTCCTTACACCTTTCCCTCCTGCCCAGGTCCACCCCTTCCTATTCCCTGGTCGCTTGGCACTTCGACCTCCTGCCTCTGCTTTGGAAAGGGGTGTGTCCTGAGGTGACTGGACTTTGCCTGATCATGACCTTGATCATGCACAGGGCCGCTGGCGGGGTGAGGCCATCCCACGGAACTCTGGGGTCTGTGAACCCACCAAGGATCAAGGAATGGAAGAGCTATCTGTGGGTAGAGGGAGTTCTGTCAGGCGTCTTAAACTTGGAGACTTGGAAACATAAGGCCTTGCAGGCCACATAGGTTTTCAGAGGCTCGCCTGGCAGAGGCCTTGAGCGTACTTCCGCAGGGACTGTGGGCACCCAGCCACCGGGAGGTTGTTGATCTCAGTCTTGCTCACTGGTCCCTGCCAGACTGGTGGTGCCTCTCTACTGTCGGGCAGCCCTACCTGTGTGCTGCCCCATCTGCCTACAGCCCTCATGCCTGGGCCCAGCTGGAGCTTCTGACATGGGTCCCCTGGGGGGGCATGCGGACCCTTCAGGGTGCCCCAGGCACAGCACAGGTCTCCAGAGACACAGGCACCAGAGCATTCAGAGCTAGTCCCCTCGCTGCTGTTGACTGTCCTTGAGCAATGAAGTGAGGTGGGCTCCTGGAACTGCAGCAGCCACCCCCGGGGCCATTGTGAGGCTAACAATCCAGGGCAAGGTGGGCAACCAGCGACTGCCACGAGGACAGTGAAGAACTAGCACCAGGACCTTGGGTATCCCATGCCCTGGAAGGAGCATGTGCTGCAAAAAGCAAGAGTGGGCTTTGGAGGCCAACGGACAGAGCGGCTTCGGTCTGAGGCTGTTCCAGCCCTTGCTTAGGATCCACCTACCTAGGTCTGGAAATTATTCCCACTTCAGACGCCTCCTCAGAGAATAAAATAACCCCGGGAAGAGGGCAAATTCCCCTGGTTTTCTCCCCACAAGCATTCGTGTCAGTGTAATTTCAGAGTGACCCCAGCTGTCTCACGTGTGGCAGGCACGAGAACAGATGTAAATGAGCTGTTGCACAGATGGGCACCCAGATGTGTGTGCTGGCACTAAAGGGGCCCTAGGGCGGCTCTAGACTGCCCCCTCGTGACGGCTTGCGTACCACCTGCAGGCGACGTTGTGGACGTTTACCAGCGGGAGTTCCTGGCGCTGCGCGATCGGTTGCACGCAGCTGAGCAGGAGAGCCTCAAGCGCTCCAAGGAGCTCAACTTGGTGCTGGACGAGATCAAGAGGGCCGTGTCGGAAAGGCAGGCGCTGCGAGACGGAGACGGCAATCGCACCTGGGGCCGCCTAACAGGTGAGGTCTGGGGCGGGAGGGGGAAAAGGCTGGGGTGGGCTGGTTGTAGGCTCCCTGGTCTCAGTCCCGATCCTTCACGACCCACCCAGAGGACCCCCGATTGAAGCCGTGGAACGGCTCACACCGGCACGTGCTGCACCTGCCCACCGTCTTCCACCACCTGCCACACCTGCTGGCCAAGGAGAGCAGTCTGCAGCCCGCGGTGCGCGTGGGCCAGGGCCGCACGGGAGGTAGGGGCGTGGGCAGGGAGGAGCATGGGGTAGGGGTGGCGGGTTCCCCCCGCGCCCTTCCCAGCGTCGCGCCTCCGTCCCCCATAGTGTCGGTGGTGATGGGCATCCCGAGCGTGCGGCGCGAGGTGCACTCGTACCTGACTGACACTCTGCACTCGCTCATCTCCGAGCTGAGCCCGCAGGAGAAGGAGGACTCGGTCATCGTGGTGCTGATCGCTGAGGCAAGTGAGCCAGGACGCGGGGTTGGGGGACATTCAGAGGAGCCCCTGCGGTATAGAACTGACAGCAGGAGCCATTCGGGAGGAGAAAGCTGTGGGAAGTTCAGTTGCTAGTTTCGTTCGCAAATGTTCTGAGATAGAAAGTTGAAAAGAAGGGGCTTCCTGGCGCCCTCTACCCCTAGGCACACCCCTCGCCCCACCCTTGGCCATGCCAGTCCCAAAGGGAAAGGGCTGTCTCTGGGGGTGCCCTTGCTCTGCTCTCAGCACAGCAGGCTCGCTACCTCCACGTGGGGGGCATCTGAAGCCATGCCCCTTCTCCAAGCCCTTCCAGGCCTTTTGGGGCAGCAGCAGCACTAAGGGAGGGTGCTTGGTCTCCCCACAGACCGACTCACAGTACACTTCGGCAGTGACAGAGAACATCAAGGCCTTGTGAGTACTGGTGGCCCCAGAGAGCTGGTGGCAGGAGGGCTCTCTGCGGGGTGTTGTGCTGGCAGGTTCCTGCCTCCCCGTAGGTAGCGCCTTTCCTATGTTGTGGGGAGGCAGGGACCTGGTGGGGGAGGGGTGGGTGTGCAGAGTGGCCCAGCCCCTGTGGAGCCCCTGGAGGCTGCGTACGGACTGGGCCTTCCCGTCCCCCAGGTTCCCCACGGAGATCCATTCTGGGCTCCTGGAGGTCATCTCACCCTCCCCCCACTTCTACCCTGACTTCTCCCGCCTCCGAGAGTCCTTTGGGGACCCCAAGGAGAGAGTCAGGTACTAGCACTCCCCCATAGCCCCAGCAGCCTGCCCGCCTGTGCTGGGAACCCATCTACTGGTATCTGATTCCAGGGCGTTTCCCTGCAGTGCCCTGAATTCTCCACGGGAGGACCTGCGCGTGGGGGCGGGGGGGACAGAGGCTGCCCACCCAGCGGCTTCTCCGTGGAGCCACACTGGAGGGGGAGGGGTCTGAGCTCCTGAGGCCCCGCCCTGGCCCGCAGGTGGAGGACCAAACAGAACCTCGATTACTGCTTCCTCATGATGTACGCGCAGTCCAAAGGCATCTACTACGTGCAGGTCAGCCCCAAGCCCTGTGCTGCCCTGCGCTGCCCTGCCCTGCTATGGGTCTCGTCCATCTGGGTGCCCTTCCTGAGCCCCAGCCCCTCTCTGCTCAACCTGCAGCTGGAGGATGACATCGTGGCCAAGCCCAACTACCTGAGCACCATGAAGAACTTTGCGCTGCAGCAGCCTTCAGAGGACTGGATGATCCTGGAGTTCTCCCAGCTGGGCTTCATTGGTGTGCCCCTCCCCTAACCTGACCGTGCCTTTGAGTCCCACCCACCTCTGCCATCCTCTCCCAGTCCCACGCTGAGTCCGCTATGAGCCTTTGCCCAGGTTGGGCCCTGCCTGGTGTGCGTGCTGCAGCCCCGCCTGCCCTGTTCCCATTGCCTGTGCATCAGCCATATCTGGCCTCACCACCTGTCTGCCCCCTTGTGCTCACACCTGCCTGAAGCCTGCCCTGGGTTTGCTGTGGGACTCTCGGGGGCACCCTGCAGGGAGAAAGGAAGTACGGCGGAGCAGCACTGCCCACTCAGGCCCCCTTCCTACCAGGCAAGATGTTCAAGTCACTGGACCTGAGCCTGATTGTAGAGTTCATCCTCATGTTCTACCGGGACAAGCCCATTGACTGGCTCTTGGACCATATTCTGTGGGTGAAAGTCTGCAACCCCGAGAAGGATGCGGTGAGCAAGAGCTGGAGGGACTGGCAGGGGCAGGGCCAAGGGGCAGGCAGCCTCCAGCACAAACTGTCCCTGTCCTTATATCTGATCACATAAGAGAGGGCACTGTCAACTGTGGGAGGGCCCTGGTAGCCTCCAGGAGAGGCCGTGTGGAGGAAGGAGGGCTCAGCCGAGTCCTGGGGTGTCACCCGCCCTCCACAGAAGCACTGTGACCGGCAGAAGGCCAACCTGCGGATCCGCTTCAAGCCGTCCCTCTTCCAGCATGTGGGCACTCACTCCTCGCTGGCTGGCAAGATCCAGAAACTGAAGGTGGGCTGCCCTGCACGCTCTCCCTATGCCGGGGTCCAGGTCGGGGCCCATGCCATCACTGCTGTCCCTCCTCTGCTGCAGGACAAGGACTTTGGAAAGCAGGCGCTGCGGAAGGAGCATGTGAACCCGCCAGCAGAGGTGAGCACGAGCCTGAAGACATACCAGCACTTCACCCTGGAGAAGGCCTACCTGCGCGAGGACTTCTTCTGGGCCTTCACCCCTGCCGCGGGGGACTTCATCCGCTTTCGCTTCTTCCAGCCCCTAAGACTGGAGCGGTCAGTGCCAGCGCCTGGGTCTGCGATGGGGGGCGGGGCTGGGTGGCCCCTAGGGGTAGGCTCCACCAGCAAACCAACCTCACATTCCTCAGTGTTCTCATCTGAAGTGGGCCTCCTAACGGTAGCTACCTTGTGAGGACTAAGTCAGGCAGCCCTTAGGAGCTCAGCCATGTTTCACCTCACCATCCTCCCAGAGGAAGGCCCTGATCTCCTTGCACAGCCTGACAGCTGCCTGGGGGCCCCGGGTGCAGGCCTGGCCTTTCTCTGCTGGGCGCTGGCTGCTGTACTGGAGCGCTGCCCCTGCACAGCTCACAGGCCTGCCTGGCCGCAGGTTTTTCTTCCGCAGTGGGAACATCGAGCACCCGGAGGACAAGCTCTTCAACACGTCTGTGGAGGTGCTGCCCTTCGACGTAAGTGCGGTAGGGTGTGGTGTGCATTGAGGTCGGGCCTCCCGCAGCCACCTGCTTCAGCCCTTGGTTCTGCCCCTAGAACCCTCAGTCGGACAAGGAGGCCCTGCAGGAGGGCCGCACCGCCACCCTCCGGTACCCTCGGAGCCCCGACGGCTACCTCCAGATTGGTGGGTAGGGGGCTGGGGGAGAGTGTGGGCTGGGGTTCGGGGACACCCTCTCAGCGCTGCCCTCCCCCAGGCTCCTTCTACAAGGGAGTGGCAGAGGGAGAGGTGGACCCAGCCTTCGGCCCTCTGGAAGCGCTGCGCCTCTCGATCCAGACGGACTCCCCTGTGTGGGTGATTCTGAGCGAGGTGAGGCCGGGCAGGGCCAGGCCAGGCGCGGGGAGTAGCCAGAGAGACCCTGGCGGAGCTCAGAGGCCCTGCTGACCCTGGGTCCGGCTCTTCCAGATCTTCCTGAAAAAGGCCGACTAAGCTGCGAGCTTCTCCCTGTGGCCAGCCCTGAAGCCCACGTTTCTGGGGATGTCGTCACTGCCGTCCCCGGAGGGCCAGATACGGCCCCGCCCGAAGGGTTCTGCCTGGCGCCGGGCTTGGGCCAGCCTGGGGTCCGCCGCTGGCCCGGAGGCCCTAGGAGCTGGTGCTGCCCCCGCCCGCCGGGCCGCGGAGGAGGCAGGCGGCCCCCACACTGTGCCTGAGGCCCGGAACCGTTCGCACCCGGCCTGCCCCAGTCAGGCCGTTTTAGAAGAGCTTTTTCTTGGGCGCCCGCTGTCTCTGGCGCGAACACTGGAATGCATATACTACTTTATGTGCTGTGTTTTTTATTCTTGGATACATTTGATTTTTTCACGTAAGTCCACATATACTTCTATAAGAGCGTGACTTGTAATAAAGGGTTAATGAAGTGTGTGCCTCCAATGTGAACGCCCTGGACATCTCCCTCTGCCCCTGCGCCTGGCTTCATTTGTCTGGTCTGTGCCCCAACGTGCCAACTAAGCCCGGCACTGGGTCTCCCCACCCAGCATCAGCAGCGACCTTGCCTTGCTAAGTCAAGGACCCAGCCTGGCCTGCAGGCGCAGTGCCACCTCGGCGCCACCTCACCCCCGTTCCTAAGATCAGGCCGCAAAGGCAGTAATTCACTGGTGAAAGCAGCTCAGAATCCGGGACCACAATACCCACAGCAAGTCCCCCGATGCCTCCCCCATGTCCAAGGCCTGCCATGAGGCCTTCCCTTAGCTCCTCAAGCTGAAGGCATTTCCCAGCCTCCTTGTTCCCCTCCGTGTGTCTCAGCTTGGTCCTCATCCTGGGTCCCCGACACCCTCCTCTGGCACGTTAGGGTCTCCCGCTCACCTCAGGGCCTTTGCACACACCGTTGCCCCTGCTTGGCAAGCTCTCCTTTCTCCGTTTCTCCTGCATACTCGGCTAAAAGTCACTTGTTTGTTTTGTGGGCCTCCCCTGGATCCCCAAGCCTTCTGGACATTTCCTTGAGACCACCTGTCACTGATTCACTATGTTCCCATGGTGCCCGCAGCTCTGCGGACCTGGGAGGGCTGCCCTGAACACCTACAGTTAACAAGGGGGACCCAGTGCTGACCAAAAGGCCCCTGCCCTCACCCGGGGAGAGATCCACAGGCTGTGGGTGGCACTGCAGCTGCACAGCTAGTTGCTGGGCCCCGCGCCTGCAGGCTAGTGTCAGCTGCGAAGGCCAGGGAACGAGGGACTGGGTGGCTGAGAGTCAGGAGAGGGGAGGCCCCTGAGGAGGGGGACCGGTGAGGAGACCGCTGAGCGCTAGCTGGGTGAACCCCGGCAGGACTGGGCGGCCTTGTAACCCGGAGGCTGAGTAGGGAGTGGGGTGGGAGGTGAAGACCGGATCCAGTCCCGCCCCAGGGGGAGGTCCCATTCCTTCGCAGCCCCTCCCACGCCGCCTCTAGGAAGCCCGCCGGGCTGCCCGGGCTTGGGCTGGGCCCCTCCAGGGTCCGTAGCCCGCGGTGCGCCACCCCCGCGGACCCAGAAAACGCAGCCCGGGTCTCGGTCACGAGAACTTTAATGATAGAGACTAGGATGCGGAGGCGAGCGCCGCTTCCCGGGGCAGCTGGAGGCTCCGGCTCTTCGTTCCCGGCTCCGCCGGCCCAGCGGCCTTGGTCTCAGGCCCACGGCAGCAACGTCCGCAGCCGTCCGAGGAGCGCGGCGCGCAGCGCGGCCGGGAGGAAGTGGGCGAGCAGGCCGAGCGCAGCCAGCGCCACCAGCAGCCAGAGGGCGCGCGCGCTCGCGTACAGGGGTGCCAGCCTGCGGGCGGCGGTCAGCGGGGCGGTGGCGCGAGAAGGCCCCGCTTCTTCCCCGCCCCAGCCCCGGCCCCGCGGGGACTTCCTCCGGCCGCCGCTAGGGCTCGCCCACCGAATTCCCAAAGGCGCTGGGCTCCGGCCCGTCGTCCGCCCCCAGCTTGGGTCCCGCTCCCCAGGACCCCGCCCACCCGCGACCTTTCCCCGGCCCCGCCCCGCTGCCCGCCCGGCCCTCACCTGAGCTGCGCGGAGCTGGCGTAGCCCTGGAAGTAGCGGAGGCGCGCGAACAGGTAGACCAGGCCGCACAGCGCCGCCGCCCCTGCGAGAGGTGCGCGCGGACCTCGTGAGCGTGCTGCGCGGCCGCCAGGGGGTCCAGCGCGTGCGCCCCAGCCCCACACCCCGACCTTCATGAAAGAAGATGCCGGCGACCCAGAGCGTGGCGAGGAATAGCGGGAAGTACTCGCTGCAGTTCACCCTGCGGTGGGCGGGTGGGATGAGCACGCCGGCCGGGCTGGTCCTGCGACCTGGACCCGCCCGGGGCTCGCTCCCGTCCCGCGCCCTCCCGCCGCGCCTCACTGGGCTCGGTAGACGCGCTCGAACTCGGGTGGGCCGGTGGTGAGCGGCGGCGACACGCGGAAGGCCCTGCGCGCCGAGATCACCTGCAGGGAGAAGTAGGCTGGGGGAGGAGAGGGAGCAGGAGTCAGGTCTGGACACCCGAAGCCCCGGAGATGGGAGTGGGAAGGATCCTTCACTTGGCCGTGTCCTCTCTTCCCTAAGGCGGAACAATTCCCCGCTCTCTCCTGAGTGAGGAGACCTCCCTTCTGACCCATCCCTGGCCTGCCCTGTGTCCCTGACATTCAGCGGGGAGGGCAGGACTGAAGCCTGGGGCACAGAGAGGCCCTGTCCCAACCTGTGAGTGTATGGGGGAGGGTGGGTGATTGAGGCACAGGGACACCTGCTCAGAGAGATCACCTGAGTCCTTGTTTCTGAATCATTTCACTCGCAAAACACAGGCAAATGCAGCTTTCAGGTCCCTGGCCAGCAAGTGCCTCGGGAGCCTGAGGGCAGAGCTGGCCGCATCCCGCCAGGTGCAAGGAAGCACACTCCCTGTAGCTAACAGTCCCTGGTCACCCACCTACCAGAGCCCACCAGCAGGGCCCTCTGACCCTGCCTCAGGCCAGGATCACTAAAGCCTGGGTCCCTGTGGCTCCAAACCTGTTTCTCTGTTCCTGCATTCTGGTCCCAGGCCTAAATGTGACAGACACCTTCTCTTCTGCTCCCAGGAGGTTGCAGCTGGGACTCTCCTAGCCTAACCCCAGGACCCCAGGGCTGGGGTAGTTGCAGAGGGTGGGCTGGCCCCAAAGTTTCTTTGTGAGCAGGAGCCCTTCCCTCGGTCAGGGGAGGCCAGGCGAGACCACACACAGGCCAGTGCTGGCTGTGCAGTCCCTCCCGAGACCTCCCGTCTGACCATCTCCCCTTGAGTCCTGCAGCCCTGGCACCTTTGGTGCTGGGCACCCTGCAGACGGGTGTCACAGGGTGGCCATCCAGCTCAGTGTGGGTGCAGCTGGAGGTCAGGCTGGCCTGTCTGTTCAGCCTCTTCAGAGCCCCCTCCCCAGGCTGTGCCTTATCCTAGCCCACACACTGTGGGGCAGTGGTGTCTCTAAGTGGCTAGGATATCTGGCCCAGGAATGTGTCCTTTAGGGCCAGTCTGAGAAAGGCATTAAGCAGGCTCCTTTTAGGGGGCTGGAGGAAGGAGTCCCACCTCTGCCCTGCTCCACATGGTCCCAGTATGGAGGTGCCTCCTTTGAAGCAGGGCCAGGGACTGGGGGCCGCTTGCTGGGACACCCAGAGAGGGGACAGCTGGAAAGAGCAGGGCTCAGCTTCCCCAAGCCCATGGCTATCCCACCATTTGTTCTGGCACCCTTGCCACCCCCAAGTCCTACAGCTCTCACAGCCAGGTGCCCCCCCAGGTCCCTGGAAGTCCCCACCCTCCTCCAGCTTGGACCTGGGCTGGAGTCCCTGCCTCTGCCCTCCACCTGGACCTAGGGAGCAGAGGGCAGGCTGTAGGGATCTGAGGCCCACCCTCTTCCTAGATAGGAGCCAGCCCACCTTGCAGCAGGACTCCCAGGAGGGTGATGGTGGCCAGTAGAGCTACCTCGTCCTTCATGGTGCCGTCGGCTGCGGTGGCACGGGCTGTGTGTAGAGGCGAGCTGGGGAACACTCAGCCCCGTCTGCTGCTCAGAGGTCAGCCCAGGAAAGGAAGAGCAGCCTCAGTGCTCTCCCCGCCCCAACTTAGTGGAGGGGGTGCGTGGGGGTGTGACCATACCACACAGAGCCAGGGAGCCAGGCCAGGCCTGCAGGGAGGAAACCAAAGTCTGGACAGGGGAGAGAAGCCAGCTGGAAACTGCCTCGCCACTTCCTGCTTGTTCGTGCCGCTTCCTTGCCTAGTCCCATGTGGCAGAGCCCAAGCTGTCCATCTGGGTCAGCTCCAGCTGTGGGCGTGCCCCCTGCTGCATCACCCCACTTTCTCCAGGGCCTTGGAGACCCCCACGTTATGCTGGAGCCAGCTCCAGGCTCCCGGCTGACTCCCCCACCCACCTTATCTGTTCCCTGCCCCCATCCAGACTGTTCTTGGCAACCCCTGCTGCACCCTCCTCTGCGGAAGCCCTTCCCAGTGCCTTTGGCTTCCGAATGGAGTCCCAGCGCCCCCCAGCCACACCGGGCCCCACCAAGCTCCTCCTTCAGGAAACCTCATGCCTGCCAGCCTCAGTCGGTTGCAGGGGTTCCCTGCACAAGGGCCCCCTGGGTGGCGGGAGGGTCAACCCTTGTGGGCCATCCCTCTCTCGGGCCTCTCCTGGGCCTTCCACAACAGCCACCTGCCGTGACTTTCTGCCCTGCAGCCCTCTTGCCTCAAGGTAACAACCCTCCACAGCCTACCTAAGACAGCAGCCCTCCCCACACGCAGGCCCTGTGGTCTGGACGGCGCTGACTCCTGCCCCTTCCAGGCCTGTGAGATGGACACTGAGCCGAGGCTGACTCAAGATGGTAAGACATAGTTCTGGAAACTTCCTTAGAACTTTGGGACAGGAAACTCGGAGTGGGGAGGGGGACTGTGGCGGGCCACTCTGAGGAGGACAGACCCCACACCGCCAGGCAGAGGAAAGGCGGCACCTGAGGACTCCTGTCTGGAGCCCTGGGTGTCCCCCTTGCCCTGCCTGGAGCGCCCCCGGCCACCTCCCTCGCCCCGCCTGGAGCGCCCCTGGCCTCCCAGTCTAAGCAGTTGTGCCTAATGGCCACTTCCTCTTTTGGCTTGAGTGGGTTTGCGGTGTCTTTTGGTCAGACGTGGCAAAGTCCAGACTGACCCAGAAGCATGGGCAGGAGCTGGGGGAGGCCACACGCAGGTACAGTCCGTGCTGCAGGGGTCGGGCCGCATGGCTCTGCCCTCGCACCTGGTCCTTCCTTGCTGCCCCAAGCCCAGCTCCAGCCTGAGGCTTGGAGCCTGCCGGGCTCTCTCAGAATCCCTTCTTCCTCCTGCTCTGGGTATCGCCCCCGCCCCCGCCCCCAGAAACCAGATATGCCCCAGCTGGGGGCTCTGTGTGCTCCTCCAGGGCAGGGGCCAGGGCTCAGGCCCGGCCCCTGCTTTAGACCAAGGTGTGACAGTCAGCTTGGGGCTCAGTGATGGAAGAGTGCCTCCTAGATCCTGGGACACAGATGCAGTGCCAGGGAGCAGTGGTGGCCGTGTCCTCAGACTGCCCACTCAGCCTCCTTCCTCCCTGAAACCTGCCCCACGGGGCCTGCCTGAAGGGTGGGATGCAGGCCACCACACAGCGGTTGACGGTGCCAGTGGGCTGTGCCCAGAGTGCCTGTGTGCACCATGCATGCATATCTGCATGCCCCTTGGTCCGTTGTCACACACCCATGTCTTTGTGCTTGTGGGTGTCCATGTGTCTTCACGAGTCCAGGCCCTCTTGTCGGCCAAGCTCTCATTTCCTCCAAGGCCTGAGTGTCCTCCCTTTGGAGTTCATCCCCTCATTCTGCAGCAGGAAGCCAAAGCCTGACATCAGCAGCTTCTGAGGAAGTCCCCTGGCGGATATGCAGGGCAGGGACCTGGGTCTTGGCCCCAGGAGCCCTCCCCGGGTCTCTTGGTCCCCACCTCCCTCCCTCTGAGCCTATCCAGGCTATCAGGGCCCTGCCTGGGCTCAAGCCAGCTCAAGCTGACAGAAGGGCCAGCCAAGCCCCCACCCCTGCTCAGGCCACCCAGCTTCCATCTTCCTATCTAGCTCTGGAGGCACCAGTATCAGGAGGGAAGCGAAAGCTTCTCCCTGAGCCTCCACAGAGCCCTAAGGAGCCTGTGATGCCCACCCACCAGGACCTCTGGGAGGCAGAAAGGCTGGCAGAACCATTGCACAGAAAAGAACATCGACTTCTGTGGAGTAGATCATAAGCGGTGCATAACTCAGACCCTGAGCTTGAACAACACAGTTTATTTATAAATCATTTTATATTTGAGACAGGATCGTGCTCTGTTGCCCAGACTGGAGTGCAGTGCCTCAACATGCCTCACTGCATCCTGGAACTCCTGGGCTCAAGCAATCCTCCCACCTCAGCCTCCCAAGTAGCTGGGACCACAGGCTCTAATTTTTTTTTTTTTTTTTCCCCAGAGATGGAGTCTTGCTATGTTGGTCCACGGCTGGTCCTCCAAAACTCCTTGGGGGGCCTCAAAGTGCATCCCTCCTGCCCTCGAGCCTCCCCCAAAGTGCTGGGATTACAGGCTTATTTTAGAACTTTACAAAAAAGTTGCAAAAATCTACAGTCTCAGTGAGGCGCGGTGGCTCACGCCTGTAATCCCAACACGAGGTCAAGAGATCGAGACCATCTTGGCTTGACACAGTGAAACCCCGTCTCTACAAAAAATACAAAACATTAGCCAGGTGTGATGGCAGGCGCCTGTAGTCCTAAGGAAGGAGACCACTACTACTCCTGCTGACCGCCTCCCCCCGCCACCTTGCCTAGTTCACAAAACAGGAGGAAAGACAGAAAGTAAGATAAATAGCCAGACAACCTTGGCACCACCACCCGGCCCTAGGAGTTAAACAAAGTAATAATAATAACATCAAACCCTGACCTAAACTACTTATGTTATCTGTAAATTCCAGACACTGTAAGATAAAAAGCATTGTAAAACTTTCTGTTCTGTTAGCTGATGCATGTAGCCCCCAGTCACGTTCCCCACACTTGCTTGATTTATCATGACCCTTTTACATGGATCCCTTAAAGTTGTAAGCCTTTAAAAAGGCCGAGTATTTCTTCTTCAGGGAGCTCGGCTCTTAAGATGCGATAGATGCCGACGCTCCCGGCCGAATAAAAAACCTCTTCCTTCTTTAATCTGGTGTCTGAGGAGTTTTGTCTGCGGCTCGTCCTGCTACAGTCCCAGCTACTCGGGAGGCTGAGGCAGGAGAATGGCGTGAACCAGGCAGGCGGAACTTGCAGTGAGCCGAGATCGCGCTACTGCACTCCAGCCTGGGTGACAGAGGGAGACTCTGTCTCAAAAAAAACAAAAACAGAAACATAGACTTAGATAAAACATTTGTGAATCATACATATGATTTTTAAAAACCACTTTGTATTCAGAATATATAAAAACTCTCAAAACTGGATAGTGAGAAGACAGTTTCCTGAGTAATGTGTGCGGATCCCTGTAGGGCAGGGATCACTTGCGGCACAGCTGAGAACTGATTCAGTCTGGAAGTGGCCTGGGATCATGAGAGCCTGAGTCTTTACTGGGGCAGCTAGCCTGGCTTCTCTCTGCTTCTCTGTTCTTTTCTTTTCTTCTTTTTTTTTGAAAAGAAAAAAAAAGGCTCCTGCCTCAGCCTCCCAAGTAGCTGAGACTACAGATGCCTGCCACCACACCCACCTAATTTTTTTGGTATTTTTTAGTAGAGATGGGGTTTCACCATGTTAGCCAGGATGGTCTTGATCTCCTGACCTTGTGATCCACCCACCTCAGCCTCCCAAAGTGCTGGGATTACAGGCATGAGCCACCGTGCCCGGCCTATTTATTTTATTTTTTTGAGACAGAGTCTTACTCTGTTGCCCAGGCTGGAATGCAATGGCGTGATCTCAGCTCACTGCAACCTCCGCCTCCTGGGTTCAAGCAATTCTCCTGCCTCAGCCTCCTGAGTAGCTGGAATTACAGGCATGCACCAACATGCCCAGTGTATTAGTCCATTTTCACGCTGCTCATAAAGATATACCCAAGTCGGGGGGGGGCCTTACAATCATGGCAGAAGGCAAAGAGGAGCAAGTCACATCTTACGTGGATGGCAGCAGGCAGAGAGGAGCTTGTGCAGGGACACTCCCGTTTTTTTTTTTTTTTTTTTTTTTCTGGAGAGCAGTGGTGTGATCTCAGCTCACTGCAACCTCTGCCTCCCAGGTTCAAGCGATTCTCCTGCCTCACCCTCCTGAGTAGCTGGGATTACAGGTGCCCGCCACCACACCCAGCTAATTTTTTGTATTTTTATAAAAAGTACAAAAAAATACAGCCTGCCCATGTTGGGGGCTGTGATCCACCCACCTTGGCCTCCCAAAGTGCTGGGATTACAGGCGTGAGCCACCAAGCCTGGCCAATTTGATGGTTTTAAAAACAGGAGTTTCCCAGGCTGGGCCTGTCCTCACTTGAGGTCAGGAGTTCGAGACCGGCCTGCCCAACATGGCAAAACCCCGTCTCTACTAAAAATACAGAAATTAGCTGGGCATGGTGGCATGCACCTGTAATCCCAGCTACTCAGGCGGCTGAGACAGAATCACTTGAACCCAGAAGGCAGAGGTTGCAGTGAGCTGAGACTGCGCCATTGTACTCCAGCCTGGGCAAAAATTCAAGTTACTGCACTTTTGATCTCTTGCCACTAAGAAAGGCACATAGGCCTTGGTGGGTCTTTGGAGGTTTTGGATGCAACACAGTTCACACTTGGGACTGCTGCTTTGACTCCTGCCAGGATGCAGGGCCAGCGACCTCCTGCTGGGTTCACAAAATCGAGCACACCCCTGGTGCTAGAAATAACTGTGGTACAGACAGAGCCAGGTGGCGTTTCTAGCAGAAGCCTCGTAAGAGAGTCACAGTGCATAACCTTATGATCCCAGATCCAGGCTGTGTGTCCCCCAGCAGAGGATGGACATTGTTCCAAAACAAAACAAAACAAAACTGGACGTTGGGACATTGGGGCATGAAGTGACTGTGTGGCCAGAGCAGTCTGCCACAGGAGCTGGTTCTGTTGGGCCCAAGAAGTCCAACCGTGGGGCGGGCCCAAGGCCATCCTTCCACTGCAATGGCAGTGGTGCTCCAGCACCCACGGCGTC